GAAGTACACAGTTTGTAGCTACAACACGAAGTACACAGTTTGTAGCTACAACACGAAGTACACAGTTTGTAGCTACAACACAAAGTACGCAGTTTGTAGCTACAACACAAAGTACACAGATTATAGCTAAAACACTAAGTACACAGTTTGTAGATACAACACGAAGTACACAGTTTGTAGCTACAACACGAAGTACACAGTTTGTAGCTACAACACGAAGTACGCAGTTTGTAGCTACAACACAAAGTACACAGATTATAGCTAAAACACTAAGTACACAGTTTGTAGATACAACACGGAGTACACAGTTTGTAGCTACAACATGAAGTACACAGTTTGTAGCTACAACACGAAGTACACAGTTTGTAGCTACAACACGAATTACACAGTTTGTAGCTACAACACGAAGTACACAGTTTGTAGCTACAACACGAAATACACAGATTATAGCTAAAACACGAAGTACACAGATTATAGCTAAAACACGAAGTACACAGTTTGTAGATACAACACGAAGTACCAACAATAAATATGTTAATTTCGAAGCCATCATGAGTAACAGAACTACATCTACCACCTTCCTCTCTAGTAAACATGCTAGACCATCTGGTTCAACACTACACAACTGGACTACTCTACCATTCTATCAGAAAACAGCAGTAGTTTAAATAATCGTCCTTGACCAGTTCTGTACTATTAGTCCTAATGAAGCCGCAAAGGTGAAACGTTAGCTGAAATATTTTTTTCATCAATATCTGTAGAGAAAGATGGTTTTTTTTGTTGTTTTTTTTTCTATCCCTACAGTATGCATTACAAGTTCTGAAAAATTTCACACAAAATGAAAATTACCATTCCGCCTCTTTGGTTTGCTAAGACATATGAAGTTCATCATACCAATACTTTGTGCAGAGGTTAATGTTCCATGCTGTGTCCCTTGTACGTAATTACCGTGGCGGGCTGCGGAAAGTAAGGTTCAAGGTTTGCCCTATACTTTTATCCGGGTGTGCATCATGAATCGCTGTCAATTCCTTTATTTGATTTAATTTTGAACAAAGCTCTTATGAAGTACTTACAGAACTAAGAACATTAATTTCGGGCCTCAGCTTATAAATGAGTAAACTGTATTTCCTTTGGAGGCCTTTCATCACTGGTCTTGGCCAGGATCTTAAACAAGTTAGAATGGACGAGAACGTCACCTAGGGCACGTACAAGAGTTAACTGGTAACCATAGGTTAGCATGTTCTTTCAAACACGTTAGTAATTTTCTTTCAGTAGAACCAATAGAGGGATAAGTAAATTTGTAATCAATAAATAACGATTATAAATAAGAAATAAAACTTGAATTTCAGAAAAAACTAAAGCGGTAATTTGGTTTAAAAACACACTTCAGGTGTATGTGCGAGTACATCTTACAGGTGCTGCTTAACGGCTGACTTTCTTCTACTAAGTTGAAAATTAAGAATTGCTATACCAGGGATTTCTCACCTGTCCCCTAGCTGTTAAACCCACGTGTCGATTTGACTGAAAATATCTTTACTACTTCCTTAAATAAAACATTTAAGTTCATTCTGAACCTCTAAAGATAATACTGAAACTTATGTTTACCTAACGTAAAATGAACTTACTGCTTATCCTATAATTAATGAATTTATAATATACAGTGAACTAGAATTTATAGTGTTATTACTTCCTGAATGAACTGTTATATGAAAAGTCTGTTAAATGTATAGTGTTATTACTTCCTGACTGAACTGTTATATGAGAAGTCTGTTAGATGTTAGTGTTATTACTTCCTGATTGAACTGTTATATGAGAAGTCTGTTAGATGTTAGTGTTATTACTTTCTGATTGAACTGTTATATGAGAAGTCTGTTAGATGTTAGTGTTATTGCTTCCTGATTAAACTGTTATATGAGAAGTCTGTTAGATGTTAGTGTTATTACTTCCTGAATGAACTGTTATATGAGAAGTCTGTTAGATGTTAGTGTTATTACTTCCTGATTGAACTGTTATATGAGAAGTCTGTTAGATGTTAGTGTTATTACTTTCTGATTGAACTGTTATATGAGAAGTCTGTTAGATGTATAGTGTTATTACTGAGAAGTCTGTTAGATGTTTAGTGTTATTACTTCCTGATTGAACTTTTATATGAGAAGTCTGTTAGATGTTTAGTGTTATTACTTCCTGATTGAACTGTTATGTGAGACGTATGTTAGATGTTTAGTGTTATTACTTCCTGATTGAACTGTTATATGAGAAGTCTGTTAGATGTATAGTGTTATTACTTCCTGACTGAACTGTTATATGAGAAGTGTCTTAGAGGTAGTTATTTCTTCCAGTTTCTCATACTACAGCTAAAACAAACTTTGAATATTATTAAAGTTATCTGAGGAATATTTCTTCGAGAAACTTAACACATTCTTCATTTACATCTGTAAACTACACTCAATGTCGTATGAAATATATTTTCAATGACGTCATTAACTTTCCTTTTTCTTAGGATTGTGATCATCGGCTCTGTTGTCAGTAATATTTCTGTGGCACCCCATATCCAGGGCAAACTGCTGGAGTATGTGAAAGAAATACAGTTCATGTGAAACTTGTTACTCCAAGTAACGCAGCTGTAGTGACTGTCGCAGCTCTGGGCAAATATTCTCAGGCAACGACTGAGAGACGTATGTGTGGTTTGAGGGCCAAACTCACTATCTGTTCCCGCATCTCGGTTATTCCGTTTGCCAGTGTTCTTCATTTCCGATTCCAAAAACAGTATTTGTGGGTATGCGTGTTTCGACAATACTGGAGTTTGCAGTTAGTTAGAAGCCAGATAAGCAAAATGAGGCCTTTTACTGAACTCTTTATACCACTCTAAACTATGGTTTTATTTAAGTTTATGGTCTTACTTCTTTAACACTTTTAAGACTACGTTCGGTTTATTCGACCTTTTTTTTTGTATTTCTCTCTTCATCACATTCGTCAGCTTTTTTGACAAGTTGTCGGTTATATTCTTCCGATTTCCCCTTACCTTCAGCAGACATTTCTGGAAACTTTTTTTGAAGTTCTTCAAGCTTTCTTTTCTCGATACTGGCACCAATATTTAACTATATCCAAAACACGGTTTGATAACTTGTAGGTGGCAGAACGTGGATATCATGACTGGTAATCATTCTTACGTACCTGGTTATTATTATTAAATAGTGTATTTGATGGTATAGGTTTACCAAATGCCTGTATTAACTTTGGTTAAGCCTTCTGTCATTATACTCTCACGTGTTTAACTCGCCTCGTTTGTTAAACTTAATTTTATTTTAACTTATATATGACATTTTGTTTACCAACCATTAAGTATATTCTTTATTCTAAAAAAAGAAGCTCTTTCATAACTGTACTATTACACATTAACGTAAACAGGTCTAAACCTAAATCACAGTATATAACTGATGTAATTATAAAAATTAACGAATGCAAGCAAGATAGACCACACTATCTGGTATATCCAGTGCCGACGAGACCTGTCGCCCAATCCCAGATTGTGTAGCATACAACAGACACAGCAGTGGTAGAGACACTATTTACACCATCAAATTACATGAACAACAACTGCTTCGTTGTGAACTACATGAAGTTGTTGATATTTATCAATAAATTCACTATGTCTTTTCACCACGTCACAGCTCAGCCATCATTGTGTTTAGGACGCTTACTAATTTTAATTACCTGCAAGTTACAAAAAACGTACAGTCTAATAAGGCTGTTGAATGAACTTAATATAAATCGTGCACGAGCTGTGGTTGATCCAGGATTTTATATAGGCACGCTTTCTCAGAAAACGTTTTGAAAGCATACGAACTAGTTTATTTCAAAAAATATGCTTTAGTAAGAGGAGGGCGGGTTGGTAACATATCTTTTTTTTTTTGTTCTCCTTTGTTACTCCTTGATTTTTTCTACTTACTTATCTAAGAATGGGAGCCTATTCACCACCCCCTGATCAGTAGTTTCAATAAAATTGTTAAAATGAATGTTTCTAGTTAGAAAACCAAACCCTCAGTTTACGTCATATTGTGTCTAGAGGAATACAAGTCAGCGGCATTATCATATTACGATGTGAAATACACATTCGTGTCTTACCATCTTCCCAGTTGAACGTGTGGAGAACGTTGACTACGTCCGTTCCGTTTCCGGAAACGCTACCTAACGGAAGAAAAAGAAACAGAACTTTATAAAACTATATACACATTGTCTGTCTATAATAAATGTTATCACTACCTGAAAAATATGATTGCACCTGGAAATTTTGTCCTACACTACGATTTGTTCATTTCTGTAGCTTTAGGCTAATTTACCGTATTAATAAGAAATCCAACTAAAGCCAGGTCGTATCACACTCCACCGAAGAAAAGTTGTCCCTTTGGTAGAACTGTACAAATAGCCCCAGGAATTCTTTGAAACAATGAGTGGTCCAATAATTACAAGGAGACACTGTATTGTGGTAAAGTTCCTGCAGTGAACCAGTACAAACTGCTAACCGATATCCCCCACCCCCTCCAATTCTATCTCATTTAACAGTACATTTGTAAATAAATTTATAATAAATAAATACATTTTATATTTAAGGTAGATAGTTCTCTTCTGAGGATATTTACGTTTAGTAAAAAAAAAGAAAATGTTATACGAGACGAATGACTTCTTTCATCCCCAAACAAAAACTTGTTTGATGTGTGTGTGTTTTGCTTTTAATTTCCTTATCAGCCCTATAATTATATGTTTAATGAACGCCAGAGGATTAAAAGAAAGACAATATAAACTCTGATTTGAAGCCCATAAGAAAGATACGGTCACACTTCTATCTAAAATATACCAACAAACGTTGCTTCTTGAGGATCCACTAAACAAAACATCCGACTTGCATAGATACGGTGTTAAAAAAGACATACGTTTACTTCATCACCATGTATTACTTTATTTTAAAACAGATGAACACAGTAGAAAATTACTTCCTGATCTCTTTAATCGATATCCCCCCCCCCCCAAAAAAAGGGTCAGTACTGAACACATCCAGCAATCTATACATTTAGACAACAATACATTCCACTATACGAAAGCAATCACTTCGGAAAAACATAAATAAAATTATTATTTAGTTTCTTGCTCACCTTTCAAGCTGATAGTCACGTGATAAAGTCCTATGGTTACTGTTATCTCTCCAGATACCAAACAACCTGAGCGAGCGCCATACTGACTTTTAATAACTGAGCGAGATACTAGCCAATACGAACTGTCCAAAAAGAAAACTGAAACAGAAATATGTATAAATATATAAACTTAGTTAAAAGTATATTCAAAAAGAGAATCTAGAAGAACAGATATGTCTTTATATAAAAGTCAAAATATCTCCGTTTGCTTGCTTGTTTGTCCGCCGCTTTCAGTTTCACCGCGCAGGTCACTCTTCCCTCACGTGAAGGTGCACAAAACCACAATTTTTTTTTATTGATATACGCATCTATTGTCTGTTGGAAGCACCGGTATATACATTACCCTAATAAATTATGCGTAGACTTGACATTTTTTGGTAAGTTTGGGTTAACATTTAATATAGCATTATAGGGCTGTTTATTTATAGATCATTAACTATACATCTACTAATACATCATATATTTAACCTCACACACAAAAGAAATGTATGCAGAATTAGAATGTTGCGTGAAGAAAAGCAAACAGTAGGCTTAGCTTATAAAATTAAATTATGCCGGCTGTCATAAAACAGACTACCTGAAAAGAGTAAGGCTTACACTATACATTCTATACGACTTTTCATTGCTGTAGACTTTCATAAATTATCTGCTTCTAGTAACCACGTTGATATTTACGAGTTTGTCACTGGTTTTTGTTGTTGTCTTAATTAACATGTATTAAATCACAACTAAAGTTTTATTAGCTTCACGTATTAAAGAAAATACTGTACCTCAAGATAACCATATATACAGCTACATACAAAATACTGTACCTCTAAGATAACCATATATACAGCTACATACAAATTAGAAACGGTTATATAATTACAAAGAATAATGAACAATTATTTATTTTACAAACTGTACATTTTTACGTGTGAAAACAAATGACTGTTTATAATAAATAAAGAGATGTTATGATATCTCTAAAATTGATCAAACGCCAACCACTAATACATGAAATTTATTTGTTCAATAAACTTTATGCAAAGAAATTATGATAACAGCGTCTAAAAAGAGCGTCGAAATAAAATGAATTTTGGAACAAAACAGTGCACAAGAGAATTCAACAATTTTGCATACTGATAACAAAAGAAAAGTATAAATAAACAACAAAGGCAATTTCAAAATAACGATTGCTAAAATGCTTTACGTATACTTAGCTTCGAGTCAAGAATGTGTCAGTTTCTTTAGCAATAACTGAAAAATACGAACATCAGTTTTTATGTTCCATATGTTCTGTCACATTTATGTACTATAGTTTTTGTGTAATTGTCTGTATTAGACAAGGAGTAGTAAATGTATCACTGAACAATAAATCACAAGTCATCATCGACAGGTTAACGACGTCATTGTGTATGATGCTAGGTGGCTCCATAAACTGCACTACATGAACGGCCTAAAAAGGGGTCTTTTAAACTAATTTTCAAGATGTTTTTGGATTTGTTTAAACAAAGAGAATGAAAATTATGACTATACAGCAAATCTTCAGCAGAATAATATGCTCTTCTTCTTCTTAAAGAATTAAAATAAAAAACTCCATGTAATGACAATATCTAACAATATTACTATAAATAAAGCAGGCCATTCTTCATTCATTCTTCATTGGTGTCGAGAATTACCATGTAATGACAATATATAATATTACTATAAATAAGGTGGGCCATTCTTTGGCGACATCGATATGTACCATGTAACGACAATATCTAACAATATTACTGTAAATAAAGCAGGCCATTCTTCATTGACGTCGAGAATTACCATGTAATGACAATATCTAACAATATTACTATAAATAAGGCAGGCCATTCTTCATTGACGTCGAGAATAACATGTAATGACAATATCTAACAATATTACTATAAATAAGGCAGGGCATTCTTTGTCGACGTCGAGATTTAATATGTAATGACAATGTCTAACAATATTACTATAAATAAAGCAGGCCATTCTTCATTCATTCTTCATTGGCGTCGAGAATTACCATGTAATGACAATATCTAATATTACTATAAATAAAGCAGGTCATTCTTCATTGACGTCGAGAATTACCATGTACCGTATTCTTCGGTGTATAAGACACACTTTTTACCCCAAAATTTGATGTCAAAATCTGCTTGCGTTCTATACACCGAAGGTATGAATAATATATATGTATATATACGATATACATAAGCTATGTGTAAATATATTGTTACATCTCTGGTCATTAGTTAATTTTCCGTAAAAATTCTTTTCGAAGAAACTTTACCAATATAAGTCCTTTCTTAAACAAAACTGATTTATTCCTTCTGAATACAACTTTGCAATACACTTAATTTCCACAGTCACGCTATAATTCACAACGAACGGCTCACGTGCTCGACTCAACTGTACGTCTCTATCTCTGTCTGCAGTTCAATTACACACATCGTTGCTGTCACTTCTTACCGGTCTTATATACACAAGAATACCGCATATCTAGTAAACGCTAAAGACTTCACGAACCTTCAAGAACATGACGTCTTACTAGCGTCACGTGACTCCGCTGTCGTAACACTGTCCCTTCCTTAGTATTGGTCGTCCCGAACAATAGCCACTTACATTAAACCAATAAACGATTAACAATAACTTAATTAAATGTACAGAATTTACTAACATAAAATTAAAATTCAACAAAGTCTCTTAATTTTACGGGACGTATCTTCTTCTCTACTGGTCTCCGTCTCGTTGGCTTCTGCTTCATGTGGGTTTCATCTGCTTCATCAGGAAACGTCCTATCATTAGTAACAGTCACATCAGTGGTAGTAACTTCATCAAGGCTTCGCTATTTCCCTTCTCAAAACCGAGTAGAGTTTCTTCTTCGACAGTGGCATTTTCAGGTGACACGTCTTCAGCAGCGTCAGTTGTTCCGTTGTTCACCTCAACTGAAATGTTCTGGACCATGATAACGCCAAAGCCTGTTGGCATGCACCACTTTTGGCGTCCTGTTAACAGATCCACTGGCAACCA